AACCGAATGTAAAGTATGTGACAACACATTAACACTAATAACTACAGTACTATTTATACATAGCCGCGCAGACGAATGGCGTCAATTTGTTGACTAGTTGACGCCAATTCGGTGCCACATACATACGGGCATACCGTGCTTCTTGAGCATTTGAATCCAATGCGCATGACCCGTGATATCACCCATTCGACCGATTACACAATGACCAACGGATAATGGTTGCCCGTTCGAATCATGATCAAACATCTGAAACCAAGTCAATGAAAAAGTAGATGAGGAAGGCTGAGATTACTGCCGCTATCACGCTATTTTATTACTTTATCCGATTTGTAAAAATGTGGCTACCGTTAGTGGGCCAGGAGGCGCCATATGGGTCGCTGCTCTGAAATTGTGGCAGGACAAATTGCGAACTCAAGTTGGAGTTTTACTACCGTTCCTACAGCTATGCCGCCTCTGCCTTTTCGTCTGGTAATCAAAGTGTTTATATTTCTTCAGTACGAAATTTCTTCCCTTTTGGTAATAGTACCAGATCCGTAGCTACGGTAAATACAGTTACGGTAGCTACAATAGTTACGGTCATGTTTGCATTATATAATAGTTCCTGGTACTTCGAGTTTGATGCGACAACTACGACGGCGCCTCCTGAACTTCTAACACCCCGTTATGTGGGACTACATTTCAGTTGCGGACAGGCCACATCGAATATTACAATTTGGAAGGCTCCTCTATCTTTAAGTTGGTTTGACCTACTGTAGCGACATTCTGGAGGAAATTAAAGTTTTTCGCTTTCCCGAGTACAAGTTTGCTAAAAGTTGGAATCAAGCTATGTTGGCGGGACCATAGTACGGGTTCTGAGACTCGTGGGTGTTCTATGTTCATAACAAACTCCTATGAAATATGAACAAACTAGAATGCAGACAAACCTCGATGACGATATGACATCGATCAAGTTTCGCTGGTGTCACATGAAAAAGGAAGGATTCAGAAAACGAAGCGTCACCGGATGAAGAGCTAAGTGATGAGGATACGGACGAAGATGAAGGTTTTGATGAGGTGCTGAAAGATGGCATTCATTTATAATTGTCCAGTCAACTATTTTGGGGCCTCTAATGAATGGTATTTATGCGGTGCGTACAAATTCTAATGAGTAAAATCTCCCAAAATACTACAACTTCACTTAGGGGTGGATAGACTACTCATCGGTAATCAATCTTTTTCGAGATATCCCAAATTTTCACTTCTCACTAAGAATTGTCAAGGGACGAATTTTAAAAGGATTTAGGCGATTGTTCTGTAGGAGATCATACCCACCTTTTATCATTACGGGTGTCCTGTTTCTCACCGAAGAAGATTCGAACTGTTTTCCCTTTTCTATCTCTCTCTCTTGGGTGGCCCAGTCAACTTTTGGTCTGGGAATCTCACATCGGGCCACTTTAACCACTTGTTTAATTGGGTCATAATCCACGGAACTAGCCCATTCCCAAACCATTCGATACTGGTTGTAGTAATGCCAAACTCTTATATAATTGAACTCACTCGATGGATGATTTGTGACCAACAGATGGATTCACGGTGGTCTGTTTCTGCTCCAGAAGTCGTCGACCGTCGAAGAGCATAATCCGCGCAAATGGAGCTGAATTTCGAGAAAGTAAATAACGCAAGTGACACCATAGCCATATTTAAGATGTTCTTAAGAAGCAGTATGTCAATGAAACTTCCGTGCCACGAAGAAGCTTCCAGTCGAATAATGTAAGTGCAAAAGACAGTCAATGAAATCAGATCTGTCAAAGCACAAAAAATCGTGATTTCTTTCAGTTTTTGACGGGAAAATCCAAATGTGCAGGAGATTTTCTCGAGAATTATAAAATTAAAGAATAATTTCGTGCATATTCAGCTGAACGAAAACGAATCGCGTACGAAAAACTTACAGTTATTGTAGGGCAGTGCCTTGGCACGTTTCACCGTCGCCGTAACGAATTGCACTGACGGTGCATAGGTGAGGATCGTCAACAACTCACAGTCGGCATCGGAAGAACTCTGAAGCAAATACCATCTTTCAGGAGAATAGCATTCAGCATAGGTCGCCATTATCGGGAGAATTTTGAACCGTTTATTCAAGAAGCCACGTTTTCCTTCTTAGTCACTATGTTATGTTCCGTCCTACAGTCGTCTGCAGAAATTTAGCTTCCGTGGAATGAGGTCCACAAGCTAGACTATATATACGCCACCCCAACCGGTAAAAAAGGCCGGGCAAAGTTCGAAATTCCCCGTGCAAAGAAACATTTCTGAGGCGGCTGATATGCTGTCGTTGCGAGTGAGCTGCCACCTTAAAACGAAAGTAGAAAAAATTTTGGTAGCTTACGGGTAGTTATGACTGCTCAACACCCACACTCAATTCCCCTTCATGAAGCTCCTATCCCCGTTTACCACTGCGCTGGGGATTACAGTAGCTTTTCTGTTTTTTTAAAAATATTGCATGCTAAGGTGCTACCAATGTTGCTATACGTAAATGCTGGTAACTCATGATCCCATTTCCCATAACATATAACTAAATAAATAAGGAAACGAAAAGTAATAGATAAATAGCTAGGCGGCTTCAAGTTGAAATGACAGTTAAGCGATAATGAGTAATAGTATCTAATATATAATTGTAATCAGTTATGACCTACCTTACTAGCGTTGTAGGCCATTTGAAATTCCAAATCATCAGCACTTATACGAGAAATTCGTTCGGGTAACGTTTCCTCCTCCGTCTTAAAAAAGCGATTACGATAAGATTGAAATGGAATTTATCTAATTCATTCACTTTGGCAATTTTCTGCTGTAATTTTGGCTCCAACTACTTTTAAAATGTAACATTGGTGAGATTGTAACACATTTGGACGGTGGCCAACAGTGAAGCGGTTTCTCACGCAATTTCTTGAGGAGAGTCTGTCAAAAAGCGCCTCACTGAATGGCAACCCACCGCTAGTGCTCGATCCTCCAAATCGCAGTCGAATACGGTCCTCTGTCCAGGGTCTTCATTTGACAGGAACTTAGTCCAAGCATCTTTATGAGGTGCTACTTTTTCTTCTTTTAATTCTGGAAACAAAGTGATGCCTTTCAAATTCTAACCCAATTAGTTCTCCTTTGACACAAAAATTAGCTCACCACCATGTCGATCTCCCCAATCCCGATGTTCATGCTTTGCCGCTCGGCCGTGTTTGGTGCCGTTAGGACGGGGATCTCTGAAATCAGCATTACTCATCTTCATCACTTTCATCAACTATTTGGCCTAGGGCATGAATATTACATTCTTTATTGAGAATTCTTTTTTAATATGTTTTTACTAGTCAGGAAATGATAAGAAAAAACAACGGTAATCTCCTTTCTCGGGACATTTGACGCACTTGCGTTCCATTACAAGGGCAGAGGCGCAGAATTTCTCTTGGTATTTATCACGTCACCTCAAATTCACTATTATTAAGCCTTATTTTTATTATAATTCCGAAAAATCATGACTTGGGTCGAAGGAAATAGCAAAATTAAGTAGGAAACCATACGTTTCGCTGCTTCGATTGCACTTTGTATTCTGGGCCAAGTCATCCCTCAGGTCGAACGTGTGNGTGTGGCAAAACCTTTCAAAATCTGATTTAGTCCCTGTTCCCTGAATCGCATCAAATCTTGAAGGCGCGAATGCCATCCAGGTCGTGGTCGTCCAATCAACCATCGCTGGAATTGCGCTTGGGATATCGCGATAGACGCAAATGAGAGAAGTAATAGGAGCACCGATGTTGGTCGTCAACCGAAGATCGAAGATGCTGGCTGGCTCATACGTTGAAGGGTCAAGGATTGTAGCCAGAATTTTGATTGGGAACCCATAATGTGGCGTCGAGGTTGAGTGAAAACAATGAACAGTGACGGTTGTAGGGTTTGGACTAGATTTCAGTCGTGTGCAGTTGCGTAAAGAGCTGACTACAGTAAGCAAGGATACCACCAATGGCTTCCCGCTATCCCATAGGTTGCGAGAACCTGTAGTCAGAATTCCGTGCCACATACACTTTCATTTTGAGTTATTCTGTTGACCGCTATTCATTTTTTCTGACGCCACATTGATCTCGTGGACACCCGTCTTTTGGTGTGGACGTCTACGAGATCGGTCTTTCAGCTCTGCTGGCACCACACCTAGCCCGTGTTTCGACCCGACGACGACCCACTCGTCAGATTTGGGGTAGCGAATCTCAGGCGGCTTCTATCATGAAAAGGGCATTCGAATCTGGAGGCCTTCGATGAGACTTCCTCAGTTAGCAGTTTGCAAACATGACGTTCAGTTACATTTTTTTCTGTTTCTTCCAATTAATCGTATTAATTGTTGTCGTTTGTGGTTTGCTCTGCACAAATGCTCTTGTGCAGTGACTAAGTAATTAAACAGTTGAATAAATAAGAGTATATATTCAGGCTTTATAGGAAAATAAATTCAATTTTACGATGAGTTTTATACAATTGTGAAACGCCTACCGGTAGATCCGACTGGCTCGTGCTGCTGGGGCCGGCTGATTCTTCCCGGTTTTGTGCATGTTCTTCGGAGCCCATCCCACAGACGGATCGGCTCCAGCTTGTGAGGGTGGCTGAATTATTATTATTTAACCGACCTACTTACTTACCGACCCACATAAGGATCCAAATACACTAAATCGAAGATTTCTATGCTTAAACAAGGAATAATTTGTTTGAACTCACCGTTTTATGGAGTTGAACAGCTTTGTGAGGCATATTGACGAATGACTG